CCCAAAAACCCCAAACCCCAAAACCCCAAACCCCAAAAACCCCAAAATCCCAAACCCCAAAACCCCAAACCCCAAAAATCCCAAACCCCAAAAACCCCAAAATCCCAAAATCCCAAACCCCAAAATCTCAAAATTCCAAAATCCCAAAATCCCAAACCCCAAAAACCCCAAAATTCCAAACCCCAAAATCTCAAAATTCCAAATCCCAAAATCCCAAAATCTCAAAACTCCAAAATTCCAAAATCCCAAAATCCCAAAATTCAAAATCCCAGACCCCAAAATCCGGAGATTTTTTGGGATTTTGGGGTCTGGGAATTTAGGGGGGCCCAAAGCTGATCCCAAAGCCGATCCAGGAGGATCCCAAATCCGATCCAAGGGGATCCAGGTCGATCCCAAAGCTCCTGGAGGATCCCAAACCGATCCAAGGGGATCCAGGAGGATCCCAAAGCTGCTCGGAAGGTTCCAGAATGATCCCAAATCTCCTCCAGGACGATCCCAAATCTTCTCCAAGGGGTTCCAGAGTGATCCCAAATCTCCTGAATGATCCCAAAATTGATCCAAGGGGTCCTGAACGATCCCAAATCTGATCCAAGGGGTTCCAGGGTGATCCCACAGATCCAGGAGGATCCCAAAACTGATCCAAGGGGTTCCAGGGTGATCCCAAATCTTCTCCAGGACGATCCCAAATCTCCAGGAGGATCCCACAGATCCAGGAGGATCCCAAAGCTGCTCCAAGGAGTCCTGGGTGATCCCAAATCTGATCCAAGGGGTTCCAGGAGGATCCCAAAGCTCCTCCAGGACAAACCCAAAACCGATCCAAGGAACTGGGACCATCCCAAAGCTCCAGGAGGATCCCAAAACCGATCCAAGGGGTTCCAGTGCGATCCCGAAGCTCCAGGACGATCCCAGAGCGGCTCCCAGAGGTTCCAGAACGATCCTGAAGCTCCAGGATGATCCCACAGATCCAGGACGGTCCCAGAGCGGCTCCAAAGGCGTTGGGACGAGTCCAAAGCCGCCCCAGGAGCTCCTGGGTGATCCCAAAGCTGCTCCAGAACGATCCCAAAGGTGATCCAGGGGGTTCCAGAACGATCCCAAAGGTGATCCAGAGGGTTCCAGGAGGATCCCAGAGCTCCTGGGTGATCCCAAAGGTGATCCAGAGGGTTCCAGGAGGATCCCAAAGGTGATCCAGAAGGTTCCAGGAGGATCCTGATGATCCCAAAGATGATCCAGGAGGTCCAGGGTGATCCCAAAGCTGATCCAGGGGGTTCCAGGAGGATCCCAAAGCTCCGGGGTGATCCCAAAGCTGCTCCAGAACGATCCCAAAGCTGATCCAGAGGGTTCCAGGATGATCCCAGAGCTCTGGGGTGATCCCAAAGGTGATCCAGAAGGTTCCAGGAGGATCCCGATGATCCCAAAGGTGATCCAAGGGATCCTGGGTGATCCCAAATCTCCTCCAGGACGATCCCAAAGCTCCGGGAGGATCCCAAAGGTGATCCAAGGAATCCAGGAGGATCCCAAAGCTGCCCCAGGGGGTTCCAGGGTGATCCCAAATCTCCTCCAGAGG